TATAGCAGTAGATCCTAAACACATCTAAATTGCTGCACTGATGACATGTTAATTTTAGATGAAGATGTGACCATTTCTGTTCTGATACTAGTCATTTTAATGTGAAACCAGAAATGCGACAGGACAAAAGAGCAGATTGAAATGCTGACATTGAAGTTGATATTTGTTGATGAGGAGCTAGCTTCTGGCCGGTGGAAAACTAAGTTGTCTAAATCTCATGGAAGAGTAGTTTATTTGTCTCTCAGGGATGAAAAAGCATGGTATTTAAAATCTTTCATACATTGTTATTCAACCAGTAAACATATCATTCTGATGCTCTTATTTGTCTTGAAGGTTGTTGGGTAACCTTGCCTGGGCTCATATGCAGTCTGAAAATTATGATGGGGCCGAAATGCTCTACAGGTATACTTTTGAGTCTAGTTCTCTTGCTATTCTTCTACCATTAGCCTCTTTGCAACATAAAAGTGTTACCTTAAAAGTTCGTTGAAAACAGAGTTACATTAAAATAATCTGCTCGCCTTTTTTTTCTCATCTACTAAATAGAACTGAATATGGACGTACATACATACCACGTCACCACCACACGTAAACACCACATTTGTAAAAGTTCAGGAGGCATTTAACGAAGGTTGAGTGATCGACAAATAGATTTCTGAATGTTATAATACTCGTAAAATATATATTAGCGTGTGAGTGAATATAGTACTAGAATTTAAATGTCATGGCTTAAGTCGTGCCCTTGTCACATGCTTCAAACATAATCTCCTCACCCTTTTTTTTCTCATCACTTGTACCCCATGCTTTGAGTGGATGCTCATTGCGACTTTGGAGAAAGAGATTTAGTAACAAAGTGGGAATATATGTGCATGTGGGCTTGACATTTTGACAATTATTAACTCTCTTCCAAACTCAAAGCCGCTGGGGTAAATTATGTGAAGCTTAACAGTTGAAAATACAAATGTTTCTGATATACGACCTATACTTTTGTTTTAAAAATAAAATTTTGTTTTGCTTTTGCATCCATATGTAGCATCTACGTGATATAGCCTAGACCAAAACCATATACGATCGATGGAACAACTTTTTCTCATTAATTTTTTCCCCTTAACTATCATATTACCTATGTGTTGCAAAAAAAAAAGTAGAATGTCATCAATCCATTTTACTATCACTTATATACATACATCTCTTTAATTTATGTTTATACCTTTGATCTGATAAGTGAAGCCTTTGACCCAGGCACTTTTTTTTTATCGTTAAAAACGGTAGGGAGTTTGTGGGTGTAGGGGGAAATTCACCGCCCACGTCCACCACTAGTTTTTTTGAAAGAAGAATAAAGTAATGCGGTAATTTCTTCACTTCAACAGCAAATATTCAGACTTCTCTTAGTAACCTGAATAATACAATGAATAGATTTTTGTTCATAGTTAAACAACACCATCGCCCACATTTCTGGTTCATCCCAACAAACAATTAACCCCCTGATCTTAAAAAGAACTTGGCCTCTCTAGAAGGCTATCAAAAGGCACAACAAACACTGGTCCAGCTGGGGATCTATCAAAGCCCTGCATTATTTGTTAAAATCACGGGGCCATGCATGTCTATCGATTCCAAGCACAAGATCGTGACGACGAACAATTGTTTTCCCCTGCTTTGCTTTATTCGTCGTATCCATCCATCTTTCTACTAGCAAATCTTTATTTTTTTTCTCTCTGACTCTGTCTTCTTTACTCATCGCTCTCTGTTGTTTAAGCGGCAAATGTCACGAGGATGCTGCACACTTTAGGCTTTTATTAAAGTGACCACTGTCACAGTGCCATTAATTGGTTTTAATCTTTTTTTTTTGGGTTGCCTGCTTTCTCACCACCTGAACCAGCGGTCCGGCTTTTATTCGCCTTCTTTTCATAGCCTCACTGGCCTGCTCTGCTCCTGCCTCTCTTTACCTTACACAGCTTGTTTAATGATGCACTTAATTAGGGAAGACATGATTGCTGATAGACTGCATCTAGTGATAGAAAAATTAAATATAATTAAATTGCCATACGTTTAAGGTGCACTGTACAGGCTTTAAAAGCATGTACAATATTAGCTTGGATAATTTCTGTCTCTATTGTGCTTCTCATTATATATGGATTGTACTGAAAGAATTATTGCAATAATATGTCTCATGAGTCATGTGTCATCTAATAAAACGAATATGATGTGTACATATATTGTATGGTAAGTTGCGTCCAAGATGTCTGTTCATCAAGAGATGTCTCTCTCTCTCCCTCCCCTCCTGCTTTCCCTCTATCTTAGGAATGGCTGTGCTTTAAGACGACTCGTTTATTATCTTCTTCCATGCTCTGAGACATTGGTATAGACTTCCTGCATCTTTAATGCCACACCATCTCATTGTTTACTTCCACGTTAAGTTACTCTTTCTTGCATATTGTGCTTCCAAATTGATACTTTATGGTGCTTTAATTTAGGATAATGCTAGTATTTTCAGTCAACAAACACTTCCCGAATTCACATTTGCTTTTAATGTTTAAAGCTGGAAAAAACAACACATTTTTCTTGTGGATGTCATTTGATTAAGTCCATATCAAATGATCCCAAATATTTAATAAGGGTCATGCCAATGAAAATTATTGACGTTGATACGACAGAGTAGCGGAGTATATGGTATTGTTTGTCAGGTTTTAAAATTATGAAAATTATTTAATAAGGCCTTTTTTTATCCGAACAAGCTAGCGCCAATTTCGGTGAATAAAGATAAAGTAAAATTTATACACATATGGTAATAAAGACTTTTCTACAGAAGAAAGGAAGAGATGAGCGCCTAAGGTAGTCCAGGATAATCACCTTGCCACTGCCAGTGTCCAAGTTCAAGTTCTTGTCTCTTCTTTAATTTTTGCTATGATAGCTAGCGTTGAGAGTTATTTATGTTGGAAAACTATTTGGCTTCTCTCTTTCTAGATCTCCCACGAGGTAAGGACAATATTAGCACTTGCTTAGGCACTCCTTCCACATTTGACGGCCCTTCCCACCACTCGTGCACGGTCATGCATTCTCGTCTTCCAAGATGACGGGTCTAGTGACCTGAATGCTGTCCAGGCAGCAAGCATGCTCCATAATTCCATATCCTTTCCTACAACTGGCGAGGAGGTGGTAGCCTAGTAGGATGTCTCATGTTCATGCCGGCATAGCGAGCAAAAGGTGTTGTTAGGCAAATATCCATACTTTGTTTTGCATAACTAGCCATGTAAAGGACTTGCATTTCTTCAGTGCCCATGCATGGCTTCCATATTAGCATCTCGAACTTTATTTGGACCGAGCCAAAGAATTGGGCATTTTAGGTGGAGGCTGCCAAGTATTCACCGTGATTTATGAGTTTCCATGTTATCTGGTCTTCCTTTCCTTCGGCAAAATGAACCTGTTGCACAACATTCCATATGGTGATGAGTTGATCCATGAGGTCGACTGTCATGCCGCCGTTTATTAGCAGGTCAAGGTCTTGCAGCCAGACATATTTTCTTTTAAGGTTTGAACAATGTTTTTCCTTGACGTTTCTCTCCCTACCCAATTTGTAGCTAGTTTTCTTAATTCATGGGACAAATTTGGACTCAAATTAAGAGTACGACTATACAAGGTCCAAAAGAATTTACCTCTGATTTATTTGTATATTTTTTTCCTACCAAACACTCCAACCATGTGTGTTAGAATGTGCTAGAGCTAGCACGCACACGAGTGTCAAACTTATCCCCCATTAGTCCTCTACTTTATTTATTCTAGAGATAGGCTATAAAATAATAAGCAATCGATCCCAGTATCCCTGCAAGTGACTTGTTTTCTCCACTTTCCCCCTGCAACTTAACTCTATATATACAAAACACTCATCACAAGTCAATTTCTCTTCCATCACCCCACTTCCCTCTTTGTTTCTTTTGATTTCTTATGGCTGACTCAAACTTCTCATACCTACTACTCCCTCCGTCCTATAATATAAGAGATTTTAAGTTTTTACGTAACGTTTGAAACTCGTCTTATTCAAAAAATTTTAAAATTATTATTTATTTTATTTGTGACTTACTTTATTATCTACCGTACTTTAAGCATAACTTTTCATTTTTTATATTTGCAAAAAAAAATGAATAAGACGAGTGGTCAAACGTTTTAAGTGAAAACTCAAAATCCCTTATATTGTGGGACGGAGAGAGTAGCTAGTAAGCGTTCAACGTTGATCGCTGGAAGTGCGTCAATACAAAAGGCTAAGATCAGAGAAACACACCACATCTACGAGTATCTTCCTAATCCATATCTTGATGAAATGTGATGGTAGTCACTTGTCGCCGCAGCTGAGGTGTTAAGGATGCCAAATTGGTGCTGCCACTACTGCTGAAGGCCTTGTGTTGGCCGTGCCTCCTACCGGCGCCGTTCATCTGCTCCGATTCCAATGAGACGATGTCTCTATATCAAAAAACTGGAAACCAAGAGCTCATGTAAACAGATTGAGATATCGATCAATCGAAATATTTAAGGCAAATTTCCTGTGTAGGATGCCATGTTGGAGATTTACTAGGGCACGAGATATTGAAGGGAAATATGGAAGAGAAATTGACTTGTGGGAGCGTTAATTATATACTCCCTCCGTCCCGTAATGTTGCAATCTAGAATGGGATGAGACCCATTCTAGAACTACGAATCTGGACATACCTCATTATGGGACGGAGGGAGTACAAAGTTAAGTTGTAAGGAAAAGCGTGACAACAAATGATTTATAGGGGTATTTAATGTTTATATAATTACTTAGTGTTTATATTTAGTAGTACAATATATTATCAGACCTTTTAAAACTTTGATAGTCAATTTTGTATTAGAATAATATTATAAAATCTAATAGATTTAGGATACTATGATTGTACTCTTCAGGGCAAATCCATGCATATATTCATGATTCTTGGCCAAAATATGAAAAAAAATATGCAGTACAGATAAGTATAAAAAAAATACATGTATATAGGAGTACACAAACACATGTATGACATGCTTTTTATATTATGCAAGCATACGTCATGGGTCGTACAAGCTCAAATAAATAACAGCCAAGAAAACATCGTGGACGCGACAAACAGCAAAGAGTTTCTAGTGCGATTACGCACAGCATGGATCCTGTTTCAATCCACTTGAGTTGAAATTCGTCACAAAAGCTTCGCCCCAAAGGCACCATTACATCGTGCTGTCCACTGCATTACATCATTGATGTATTTGATGTAGATGTGTAGTAATTTTGCTGAGAGTAACTAGCAGCCCATAAGAAAAAAACAATCATCACACAAGCAAAATCACCTTTTAACACTCCAGGAAATGCCATTGAACAAAGAATAATTTAGGTGAAACATTTTGCTGGGAACTTGTTGAGGACATTTATGTTTTAGCCCCCCCCCCCCCCCCCCAACAAGTTTCCTCTTGTTACAGTGAAAGTGTGTAGCTGCCCTTGCAAAAGTTGCAATCTGGTCCAGCCCTGCCCTGGCCCCAATCTTAGCTAGCCAAGAGCCCCAAGATTCCAACCTAACTCTAATAATTTGATTCCAAGAAAGCAACATCCATCCAACCCATCACCCAAGACCTCCCATCAACATTCACTCTCAAAAATCACCATCTAAACTTTAAGATTAATAGCATTATGAACACTTCGAAATACCACCAAATTTTTAAACCCCCTCCCAAATCCACCCAAATATTTTTTTTACACTCCAGCCCTTTAACCGTGGTAGTGTGCGTGTGTGTGTGGTGACCACTCTGACTTGGCGGCGCTCATCATGTCCACGTAAATGCCATCGGGCTCGCCACGCTGTGCTTGCCGTCCGACCAGACGAGGCGGCCGAATCCGGCGGTGCCCGACGGCTGCGACTTCGCCGTGAAGCTCACCGTGTAGCTCTTCTTCTCGCCGGCCGACGTGAACGCCAGCTCGGTCGGCTCCACGGCCACGGCCACGCCAGGCATGGCGGCCGCGCTCACCTTGTACGTCCCCGCCGCGCCGACGTTGGTGAGCGTGCGCCTGTGCGTCACCGTCGTCGCCGCCGCGCCGGAGCTCTCCGCCGCCTGGCTGCTCGCCGTCGAGTACGCCACGGCGAAGGACGGGTAGTTGAGGTTGTACACGGAGTAGGCCTTGCCCTCCGTGCAGCCGTAGCTCTTGCTCCGCGCCACGGCGGCGATCATGGTGGACGTGTAGTTGAGCGCGCAGAGGAAGTCGACGTAGTCGGCGGTGCCGAGGTCGTAGACGAGTCCCGGGTCGACGGCGCTGGCCGGGTCGACGTGGCCGGCGCCGTAGTCGAACGGCGTGGCGGGCGCGCCGGTCGCCGCGTCGAGGAGCGGGTTGGCGTCGCCGGCGCCGGCGTAGGTGGAGTAGGCGGTGGTCATGAGCGCCGACCGCACGGCGGCGGGGCTCCACTCCGGGTGCGCGCTCCTCAGCAGCGCGGCGAGGCCGCTCACGTGCGGGCACGACATGGACGTGCCGGAGATGATGTTGAAGGCGACGCGGCGCGTGTCGGCGGCGATCCCCGTCGGCCCAGCCTTGCCGGTCCACGCCGCGAGGATGTTCACCCCCGGCGCGATGATGTCCGGCTTCAGGATCTCCGGCGTCAGCATGTTGGGCCCGCGCGACGAGAACGCGGCGACCACCGGCGACGGGCGCACGTCCACCTGCGTCCCGGCGACCACGATGGTGGCCGTGGGGCTCGGGTCGGAGGCCACGTACGCCTTTATTGCGGCGCCTTCCTTCGCGCCCACGCCCGCGGCGGGGAGGAGGTGCGCGTCGGCGACGAGCTCCTCGCCGTTGGTGGCGGTGTTGGAGAGCACCATGCCCGCGCCGCCGGCGTCGCGCACGACGAAGCCCTTCTGGACCCGCGCGCTGACGCCGCGGTCGCAGACGACGATCTTGCCGGCCACCTTCTCCGGCGTGAGCGTCCCTGGCATGCAGAGGTTGCCCGCCGTGGAGTTGGAGGCGTTGGCGGCGTAGACGATGGGGAGCGGGGTGGAGGGGAGGGCCTTCCCGGCGTAGAGGGAGACGCCGGTGTAGTTCTTGCCGTTGCCAAGCGAGACGTACGCCGGGAAGTCGCGGTCGAGCGTCCCCGCGCCCACGGTGGTGATCCATGGCGCCACGTTCGACAGCGTGGACGTGCCGGGCCCGGCGTTCCCCGCGGAGCAGGACACCAGGACGTTCTGCTCCATCGCCGCGAACGCGCCGATCGCGACGCTGTCGCGCGCGTAGTCGGCGGCGCCGCCACCGAGCGAGAGCGAGAGCACGCCGCACCCGTCGGCGACGGCGGCGTCCATCCCGGCGAGGATGTCGGAGCTGAAGCAGCCGCCGAGCCAGCACACCTTGTACACGGCGACGCGCGCCCTGGGCGCCATGCCGCGCGCCGTGCCGGACGCGAACCCCAGCAGGCTGGCGCCGGAGACGGCGGCGCCGGCGGCCGTGGACGACGTGTGCGTGCCGTGTCCGTCGTCGTCGCGCGGGGAGCGCGACTCCCTGGTGGTGTCCATGGGCCCCATCGCCGCCTCGTACCCACGGTTGAAGAACCGCGCGCCGACGAGCTTCCGGTTGCAGGCGGAGGAGTTGAACCCCGTCCCGGCCATGCACTCCCCCTTCCACCACGACGGCACCTCGCCGAGGCCCGCGTCGTCGTAGCTCCTGCTCTCCGGCCACACCCCGGTGTCGAGCACCCCGACGACGACGTCCCCCGCCGTGCCGGACTGCGGGAACAGCCCGTCGTTCCCGGCGATCCCCAGGAACTCCGGCGTCCGCGTGGTGTGCAGCTCGTACCTCGCCTCCGGGTTGACGGCGAGCACCCCGTCCATGGCCGCCATGTCGCGCGCCTCCCGCGCGGTGAGCCGCGCGGAGAAGCCGTGGAGCACGGTGTCGTACGCGTACAGCATCTTCCCGGCGCCGGACACGGAGCGCAGCGACGCGCCGTACCACTCGCCGTGGTCGTCCCCGTACTCCGCCGGCATCGCCGACTTCGCCATGTGGACGATGTACGTCGCCCTCTCCTCCGCCGCCACAACCACCGCCGCCATCGCCACCGCCACCGCCACCAGCAGCAGCCTCATCATGGCCGTCGTGTAAATTGCAGTGGTAGATGACGAAGCTAGCGAGCACAGAGCCACTACAACGACGTGTACATATTTATACACAAAAACTTAGAGAGAGTGAGTGAGTATTGGGAGAGTGGAAGGAAGAGTGTGAGCGAAAGAGGGACGGTTGGTGCGTGCAAGCTTAATTAAGCCCGGAAAGAGCAAGAAAATCAATATAAAAGAAAGAGAGAAATGTGAGACGAAGTATTGTTGTTTGTGTGGTTAAGCGATGGCTTACGGGTAATTAAACCAAGGGAAAGGGAGATAAAAGAGAGCGGAAACCGCATGGTCACATGGATTTGTTTTCTTCCCTAACTTTGGGACTTTTGTGCTGTCTGTTGCTTGCTTTTTCGTGAAATTCAGAGTACGCAGTACGTATGGCCCGGCCCCCCCGTGCTGTTAATCTGTCGGGCTGCCTGGCCCTGGCCCTGGCCATCTCCATGGCCAAGCATATGCAATGCACTGCTGCAGTGCAGATTCTTCAGATTTCGGAGTAGCCTCAGCTGTTACCAAAGCGTAGCTTTAGCTAAGATAAGATTTAAGCCGTGGATCGTGTGTCTCGCTCTTCTGAGTCTCCACTGGATCGACGGTGTGTGACTCTGTGCAGTGCTTCGGTAGCTTTCCTGCTTCAAGCCCACACACAATATAATGACACATTGACAGTTTGACAGATGCGGCCGCATGTAGCATATCGTACTATATTGTTGCGCTCGATTCCACCTCTTCTCTCTCCCTTGCATGATTGATGGTAATGGTATAGTGCGATGATTCTTTGGCATAATTAATTAAGCTTGGCAATTTGAGTCGGCAAATGGATTCTGAAAAGGTGGACGAAATGATGATCTTCTGGAACCAAATTGTTCCCTGTTACTAATGCGTGCTTGTGGCCATGGCGAATCTGTTCTCTCATTAATCAGATATGGCTTTCACCATCGAATTTCATTGTCTTTGATTTATGCCCCCATTTCGGTCTGTGTTAAGGAGCCGTACTTATATACGTGTACTTAATTACATATGCGTACATGATGGTGTGTGTACGTCTTTAATTCATACAATCATGCCAATTTTTCTATTTAGCTAGCTATGGCCTTATTCCCTTTTCTTTGTGCTCATTCCGAATTGTTTCTTACCAACCGTGCACATGTACGCATAACCCGAAACGAAAGACAATTGCAACATCAAAAGAACGATGGAAAATGGGAGATTTTAGAAAGGTGCACACAAAGGTGAGCCATGAGGTTACTCAAACGACCTCTTAATTTGCAGATATAAAATCATCAGAGGGATAAATCCAATATCATACCATTGTTTATCTGCTATGCTTGACGTGATGATGCAACTAACCCTGTGGGACTTCTCCCAGTAGCTAGCAGAATCGATGGATTTGGATAATGTGATAGGCAGGGTAAGAGAAAGAATCCAGTCAGCAGCTGCAACAATCAGCATGGAATCTATCGAAACTAGAAAAACCTGACAAGACCGTGAGCTATGTATCCCATCCCCCATTTATACATAGAACACACTCGGGTGTGCTTTTTTTTATAATGACTGTTTAATTCACCGGCATGCATTCCAAGCTTATAAACGATTTTTTAATAAAAATATATATTATTTTTTAAAATAATATTTTAATTTATTTTTCGATTTCATAATAAGCTAATGAGAAAAAAATCAGCAAATCTCACGTTTTATGGTTAAAGTAGTATAAAACACCACACATTATGACCGATGACACATAATCTCAACTATTATGGTTTTAAAGTTTCACAAAGCCAGACTCCTATATATATTTGATAAATATTTATTTAAAATTTTAAAGCATAGAATGTATATGAAACTTTTAGTTATTGATTATCGGTTTAACTCTTCGCTATTTAAAAAAAATATTTTAGATATACTAAAATTAATTGAAAATTTGAAATTTTAATAAAAGTGGAGCTTTATAAAACATTTACATCATAAAACTTGTAGTTATGTGCCAAAAATTATAATACCCGTGGTTTTACGAAACTTTGACTATAAAACGTGGTTTATGAAATTTACTCTGAGTTAATTCGCTTCATTGTACTATGGATAGTTATCACAAAATCATTTAACTATTTAGCCAATTAACTATTAAAAGATGCATGTTATTTATACTATTAGCAAAGAATACGTGGGCTTACTACATCAACACAATATTTATACTTAGGGGGTGTTTAATTAGATCCAGGGGTGTAAAGTTTTAGCGTGTCATATCGGGTATTATATAGGGTGTCGAATGGGGTGTTCGGACACTACCAAAAAAAACTTATTACAGAATCCGTCAGTAAATCACGAGACGAATTTATTAAACCTAATTAATCCGTCATTAGCAAATGTTTATTTTAGCACCACATTATTAAATCATGGAGCAATTAGGCTTAAAAGATTCGTCTCACAAATTAGTCGTAATCTGTGCAATTAGTTATTTTTTAAGCCTAAAATTTAATAATATATATAGGTGTTCAAATGTTCGATGTGATAGGGTGAAAAATTTTGAGGTGTGATCTAAATAGGGCCTTAAATATGTGCATTCATCGTCTAATACAATGGATGACTTGACGGTTTGCATGATAGATGGCCAGTTTTAGTAAAACTAGTCCATTTTTTTTATGTTATATTGGTATACAGATGCCAATCCAACTCTCTATATTTTACATGCATATTTTTCTTCTACCTTCTAAAACAACAATTTGTAGGGTGTCAGAGCAATTGCCTTACTGACATTGAGGCTGAGTTTGATTCAGCTACTTAGTAGCTATTCTATTTCCTCAGTTTTTATAAGGGCATGCTTCCTAAATTCCTAGACGATGTGTTTCGTGCAAAAACATTATATATAAAATGTTTTAAATAAATCAAATAAATTCAGTTTTCAAGATTATACTCCCTGTTGGTATTTCTTAACGACATTACTAGAAATATAATCCCTAGAAATGGCATAGAAATACTCCTGGTATATTATGGTTACAGAGTTCATCTGCAAGCGCACGGATATACCATTGTAGCATTTCACCCGAGAGTATTCCAAGGGTATCGTATTTATTTTATCCCGTGGAAGATCATGTAGAGAGAAATCAACTAATAATTTATATATTACATGTGATAATTATATCCTAAGCAGGGGTTAAGATAATCTAAGGGTAGAGTGACACACAAGCATTACTACTCATTCTCATAATATATTATCTGAGCTAAGTGGAAAAGAAAAGAGAAAGAAAATCTAATCCTATACTTCTAATATACATAGTATACATACATTCTAGTTAACTGATATACTAGCTAATACCCTCTATCCGATGCCCTCCTGGTACTTCGAGAAGCCACCCCTGACTGCCGAGTTCCTTACGACAGTCCGTCATGACCATACGACCAGGGCTAAATACGGAGGAATACCCTCCCCAGGGAATTAACTTAGGATTATATACCGGCGCGGAGGAATACCCGTACTGAGCTGTCACCAAAAGTGACCCACCTCTCATCCGCAATATATAACCCCAAATAATGATATCCCGTAATCTAGACACCACGTCTAAACTACCAGATACTACTCTAATATCATCGTCATGACATAGAGTAATTGCATAAGCAAACACTATACTCGCACCAAAGCATCTCCCAGATAAGCTAGCCGTATATTCAATATAACATGAACATAATATAAAGTAGGTACTCATATACTTAGAAAGTATTCCAATACCATAAATGTATTTAGAAGAGTATTCTAATAAAAGTACAAAGCTTACAAAAGAGGAAAAGAAAGCTGCTAGAGCCATACCCGAACTCTTCCGACGGCTTTCGGACTCCTGATTTCTACTCTATTCCTATTCCACCAGCTAGATACTACTAAACTAAACTTGAGAGAAATGAGAGAGCTATTGCTTGAGTTGTGTGAGTGAAATGAGAAGGTGAAGTCCTTTTATAGCTGAACTATGACGATTGTGACGGTTGGAATGGTCGGTAATACCCTCCAACCGTCATTGGGGCTTTATATCAACCGTCCAGCCAAAACCTGGATCCAACGGAGGCGAGGGAGGTTCGGCCGAACCTGGGGCCGGCCCAATCTAGCCCAATTTCGGCTGGTGGCCTCCTCCGTTGCTTCACTTCGTAGACTTGTGAATTTTGTCCTAATTCATCGTGTCAATTCTGCGTTCTTGGCCCTTTCATTCATAAGTCTGATTATCGACATCGTCTGATTGATTTATCGTCTATGTTGATGTCGATTCTCCTCCACTTTAGTATCATTCCCTGCAAGAGGTTAGTATACCTAATACTAGTGAAATATTATTATTCTAACATATGTATGCATTGCAATCATTACTAGTTCTCCTCTATTTTGGTAATATTGACGGTCGAAACTGATCGATAACGACCATCAACACTCTCTCTGTTCATGTTTGATCATAGCGTTAAAAAAACAAAACATTCAAAATTGATCAGCCTATTTACCTGTCGCGTCTAGTTTTGTATGCAGATTTCGGCAATGCGGATTTGGGTGTGTTTAGTTCACGCCAAAATTAGAAGTTTGTTTAAAATTGGAACGATGTGATAGAAAAGTTGGAAATTTATATGTGTAGGAAAGTTTTGATGTGATGGAAAAGTTGGAAGTTTGAAGAAAAAGTTTAGAACTAAACTCGGCCTTTATTGCTTCACATGCAAGGATGCGCTAGCTATTCTATTGGCATGCGAAGGCTTTGACCAATCCGTTGCATAAAAATCACATACCCGCTCCGTCAAAAAAAAATCAATCCTAATCATAAATCTAGACACATGTGTGCCCAGATTTGTAACTATGAGGCCATTTTTTAACCCAATGACTAGAATGGTGTCTATAGCATTAAAATAAGAGAGAATCCCTTATATGCCACTAGAATTTGACCAGTTCCCTTATATGCCACTCAAAATTAGCTTCTTCCTTATGTGCCACTAGTTCAAGTTTTTCCACCCTTTTATGCCACTCCCACCACTATAGTGTTAGTTGACTGTTAGTCAAAGGTTAGTTTTTTTCTTAAATGACCAATATGCCCTCTCAACTAAAAAATGTGTAAACTTCAAAAAATCATAACTAATTTATTTTAAATCCTTTTTGAGTGAACAAAATTTTGTCAGAACCAGTGAAAAATGCTCTTTATATTAAAAATATTGTTGGAAAATTGCATGTTTCATGCTTACATTGAAAATTTATTTGTGATGGTGATGGCTAAAATTGCATGTGATGCAGAAAAAATCAA